GTGGCCCTTCCCAGCCCCCCCTGCCTTTCCTTTCGTCACCTGCCCCCCGAGAGTTGGGAGAAACTTTCCAGCCTGTTGATTCCAGCTGTCCCTGCCGTCAGGGAACTGAAACCACCACTGGAACAGGGGGAGCTGGGAGGGTGCCGCACAGTCGCAGCTAACGAGCTGGCTTGTGGGTAAAAGCGGCTTGGATGGGTGTTTCGGCCCTTCCCAGCCCCCCCTGCCTTTCCTTTCGTCACCTGCCCCCCGAGAGTTGGGAGAAACTTTCCAGCCTGTTGATTCCAGCTGTCCCTGCCGTCAGGGAACTGAAACCACCACTGGAACAGGGGGAGCTGGGAGGGTGCCGCACAGTCGCAGCTAACGAGCTGGCTTGTGGGTAAAAGCGGCTTGGATGGGTGTTTCCCTGATCCCTCGTGCGAAGGGAAACCCAGCCGTGCGCTGTCACGAGAGCAACAGTGGCACAAAGGGGGAGAAGCTAGATGGGTCTCGTCTTAACCCCAGAACGACATTCTGGGTGTTACGGGGAGGAGGGAGAAAAACTCTTCTCCTTGGCGTCTGAGGACAGGACAAGAAGCAATGGGCTGAAACTGCAGCAAGGGAGGTTTAGGTTGGACACTAGGGAAAAATTCCTACCTTTCAGGGTGGTAAAACACTGGAATAAATTGCCCAGGGGGGTTGTGGACTGAAGAGCAGGTTGGCTGGACATCTTTCAGGGATGCTCTAAACGGCGCTAGGTCCTGCCGGGAGGGCAGGGGACTGGACTCGATGACCCCTCGAGGTCCCTTCCGGTTCTAGTGTTCTAGGATTTTATGATTCCTCCAAGGGAGTCAGCGAGGGCTTTGCTGGCTGACCCAGATTTTTTAGTTGAACTGACATTGGCCAAGACCCTCTGTGGCTTCCAAGCAGCGCTAGGACCCCGCTCTCCACCTCGGGCCATGGGGTTGGCTCCGAGCTGACAGCTGGGAGGCCTCATAGGCCCCGGGCAGCCTGGATGCAAACAGCCTTCTCTCCAGCCAGGACTTCCCTCAATCACACCAGTGATCTGTCACTGCCAGCAAGTGTCAGGCGACGGTTGCTGAAGCTGAGTAATCCACCAGCTCCTTTGTTGCCTAATGTCCGCACAGCCGCTTCCTCCTTCACCTCGCCCCCTGGCTCCGCGCTCTGCATTACTTAAGGTGGGAAACCCCGCGCCCCACCGGGGGCCATGCCTTGATTTGCCCTTCTCACAGCAGGGGAACGCCGCCGCGATGCAAGGGCGGGGAGTCCAGCCCTGCTGAGCCTGGAGACGGCTTTGCATCCCGTGGCCGGGGGCGCTGACCCATGATTTCATTCCACCTGCCAGATAAGCGGGCGCTCAGAGAGCCGATTGGGACACGGGCACTGCCCAGCAGCGCTGGCAGACAAGCGGGGCGGGGTCTGTCCCTCTGGGAGCAACGGCAGCTCGGTTTAAATATGGGGGTTCTGCTGGCTCTGTGGCCCCTTGCAACGCCCCCGATGCCATCTGCTGAGCGCTGGCTGGGAACTGAAATGTGTCAGGGACGGTGGGTTTTGCAGCTGGCAGGGCAGGGGAAGCGGAGTCACAGGGAATGCGTGCCAGTGGTCTCAGGAATCTCTGACTGGGTTGAGCAACAGGTCGGACTTCCCTGGTCCAGCATCCTCGGGACCTGACTCCTCCCGGACGAAGGACCAGAGGTCATTTCTGGGCCCCCCTGCCATCATCTCCCCATACCTGGATGCCCTACTTGGCATCCCAGCTTAGCTGCATGTCGGGCTTCCTGGCCCCCCCACCCAAGACTCTCTGATCCTGGAATATCCGGTCAGGCTGGACCACGGATGTTGCCAGACCAGAGTCCCGGTTTATAGAGGTGCAACCGGTACTAGGGAAAAGCTCTACAGGTCCGAGGGATATGCCAGGCCTTTGGGAGGAGGGAATAGCCCGGCATGGGGACTGCTCCGAGGAGATCAATATCAGAACAGTTTGGGGCCAAGAGATATGCCAGGCCTTTGGGCCGTCAGATGCAGGGCAGCTGCAGGAGGGAATAGCCCAGCATGGGGACTGCTCCGAGGAAATCAATATCAGAACGGTCTGGGAAGCAGACTTTTTTTTTTTTTTTTTTAATAAAAAGGGAAAGTCCAAGTTGGTTTGTGCCACAATGTTCGACAGGAATCGACTTCCTTGTTTAAGCATGTTAAACACCTTTTTATTGACAGAATGTTTTGGCTTCATTTCTTTAAAAAGGAATTCATTC